GAAATGGCGAAAAAAAAAAAGGTGACACACAGTTTTCTTTGACTTTTGTAGGTCTGCAGCGATATCATACAGTGTCTAAAAAATTGCCCATAACTTTTTTAGATGCTAGAAAGCCTATTAGTACTCACAATAATGTCAATAATGTGGCATATACATGCATGAGTAATTAAACAAACTGCAGTATGTCTTGTGACTAGTGCAAACAGCCCCTTCTAGATCATGAAATGCTTTCTTACAGGATCCCGGTGTACCGCGGTGAAGGTAGCTTAAGGGAGGACGTGGCAATGGGAATTGTAAATTTGGTCAAGATGTTCAGTTCTTTAATTAATCTTTTTTTCTGTAATCCTGAGACCATGTTCTACATCATAGTGTGATTTTATATTAAAATAAGTATTAGAAGCTGAGAAACCAACAAGCATTTTACTGGTGGACTGTCGTCAAAAGCTATGTGAAAATTTGCAGCTTTTCCTTGGCAAAGTGCTGCCATACTGGCATCATCATAAAAGGACAGACTGGAGCTCAACATAACCACAAAGATGCATTTCCCCAATGAAAAATAAAGCCAGCTTCCTTCAGAGTTCCATTTCAACATAGAACCACTACGTTGAAACTACTGCACGCAGACTCAGTGGCACGGCTGCGAAGAGATGAACAATTGCACGCACGATTGGGTGCGACAAAGAGCACAAAGTAACTTACAGAGCAGCCACAAAAGACGCTTACTAGTGTTTCTGGTTGCAAACAATTTACATCTGTTACTGTAAGATCCTCAGTGCACAGTTACTGTAAGACTGACATAAAAACTAGAAGTGATTGGAGTAGGGGCTAGTTTGGTAGTAAACACTAGTGGCACACCGTTTCAACACAAAAATGCACACAAGAAAATACTTTACGTTGCACACAAACTAACACCTGCTTATCTGCAAGTTTTTTTCAGCACGTGAACATAGGAAAAAAGGGACAGGATAGACAGAACGAGCACTCTTGCTGCCTAACCTGTCCCTTTTTTCCCTATGTTCGCGCGCTGAAAAAGCTTGCAAACATAACTACGCACCGACTAGCCTGAGCTTCCACTCTTGTAATGCCTGCTTATTTGGTTATTAATTCACATGTATATAAAAGGGGAAAGAAACAAGGACACTAGTGGAGAACCATTCATGTCCCACTATAAACCGTCCATGATCTAAATTTCTATGTAAAATTATACTTCATTGTCCTTCAAGTGAACCAATGGCGCACAAATCTCTGCCCATGTTGTACATCATGAAGGCTTAAACGATCTCCCTTTCTTTTGGGGATCAATATTAAGTTACAACTGTGGTGTTTTCAAGATCTGGCCGATGATGGCCCCTAGAAAAATGGGTAGCTAAGTTGCCAGGGTGATAAATGTGTTTACTGCTGTAGTTTTTCTCCCATAAACACATTTTTACGTACCTACCTGTTTGTTGAATGTAGATGATAAAAGAACAAAATATGTATATTTTTTTCACAAGGTACAAACCTGTTTACATGATAAACAGAACACAAGTTATTTTGTTATTTTACATTTGACTGTGCCTGTTAATTTGGCTACAGAGAGAAACTAGTTTGTTAGGGGCCTACTTTCAATTTTACAGTGAAAACTTATGAGATCACAACGAGGGTCATCAGTGATACCGTAGTGGTCCACTGCCATCGCTGGTCACCATAACCACTATAATGCGAAATAAGAAAAATACTAAATGAAAAAAATACTGAAAACACAACGGGATTTGAACCCTGGCCCCCTGCGTGCAAGCCCAGTATTCTACCACTGAGCTACACCAGCACTTGAATCTCCATGGCAAGCTTCCCTAGGCAAGCTTCATGTCTGATAAGGAATCATGTTATTATATATAATAAAACGTTTTACAACAGCGCAAGAACAACCAGGTGTCACACAATGTAAATTGCATAACGAGTGAGCAATCAAATGTTTCAAACCATTAGAAAAGCCTGAGGCATGATTCTTCATTGTCAGCTAGAGCATCAATAACATGCACATAATTTCTCACAAGTACCATGTTTCTCCCAAGAATGATGAAAAATGGCAGAGTGAATGCCTCCCTACTACACAAAAATTATACCATATCGGTACCCTGCAAGTGTGCTTGTAGCGGTTGTCTATAAAGGCCGCTCTTCCAGCTTCTCAGTGAAAGTGCGCGTTTGACACAGGCCTAGTGTTTTTTTTTTTTTTATTCCATGCAAAATAGCGTGGACAGAACTATCCCAAGACTTCTATTTTATTCCTTTTTACATTTGTCTTATAGCTATTACTGATGCTTTTTAAAAGCCTCTAAACAGCAGTGTGCCCCCCCCCCTCCCCCCCCGAAGTGTCAACATAAATCGGTTCTCAGTGTTCGTCTCGGTAGTTGTGCCGTGGTCCACCATGCACCACGAATTTGCCCTAAATTTTCCGTCACTAGCCTTCACGTATTGGCAGCAGCAGAAGACCATCATGGGTCTTCTGACACAACCTAATCGAAGCAACGCACAACTGAATTAACGTGAGTCTGCTGACATTAAGTAATGCTTTCTGAGACTGGTGGACAAGATCAAATCACTGGGATTGCCTAATTAATTCCACTCTATTAATGAGATTTTTGTATAGTACTAGGCAGCAAATGTCCAAAATCTTGGCGTATTTCAATGAATGGGGCAGATTACCTCTATTTTATGAAGTCAGTTGGACTGTTTGACAATGGCGGATTTGGAGCATGCGAGGTAGCCTGAACGTACTTGGGAGCTTGCCTTACAAAACCTGCCGGCGCAACATGTGGGGTAGCACGCATGCTGGGCAGTGAGGAAAAACCAGTCCCTCTGATAAAAAGATACCCTGGCTAGGGAGAGGGAAACCGGAGGTGTGGACTAAAGCGACAAGAAGACGGGAACACGGTCTCTCCCTGGTACAGCCCCGCACCCTTCACACCCAAGGCCCATGCGAGCTATCCCTCTGCGCGACATTAACCCAGTACTGCTAATGTAGAAACAAAGTGTTGTTTTGTTGACCTAGTCTGTTGCCTCATTCACCTGAACCCTTCATAGCTACCATGACTCAAGCTATGTTAACTATGACTGTGTGCAGCTGGAACTGTAGCTGGTTTTCTGCACCAGCTTTCTGTAAACTCTTTTGAGTCAATGAGCGCAAGTACAAATGCCCCACGATGTCATAAATCATGGCAACTTTCATGAAGTAAAAAAAGCATCTACGATATTATTTGCGATTTTGCGGAGAATCGTGGATGCTTTATGTGCACTTTGTGCTGGTGAAGACGAAGAACTATAGCTGAGCCTTTCGTAATGTGTTGGATGCAACGACCTACTTGTTGTGCAGTTGGAATTGTATGACGGCTGGTTATTGTAAGAATGCAATATTACGTACGCCGACACGATTGCTTGCCCGGAATAGCACTTGTTGAGCGCACTTTTACGGTGGAGTTTCAAGCACCAGCGGGGCTCTGTGGTGGACTGCCACACCAAGGGCCCCGAGTTCAAATCCTGTCTGTCCTTATAAATGTTTTCCTCACTTCCTTTGGCTTTTCATTTTATGTCACAGGGAATACAGATAATGGCGGCAGCAGCGCCAGTAGCTGGCAACTATGACACCGAATTTGGCTCTTGTAAAGTCGTAACAATATAGGTATATTATATGTAAGGGCCCAAACACCATCCTCGTCACCAGAGCCATAGTCGGGAGCACAGAGTAGCTGTTTAGCAGTAACTAGGTGGAAGCAAAAAATACCACGCACTACAGGTGGTATCTGTCGCCCAGGTTCACGCCCTCATTTGATATTAAAAATTGAGGTTAAAGGCATACAACTTTTCTGCTATTGCCCCTTAACTGCTCACTTTTTCTTGAAAATTTCCGGTCAGAAAGTGCCCGTCTTTTTTATTGCTGATTTCAAATCTGATTGTAGCTAATTCATGTTCAAAAAATATTTTCCCCACGTACTTAGTCAAATTAACAGGATAAAGTTTACTCCTGAACAACGCATAGAAAACCAGCTAACTGCTGCTAATAAAATTTAAAAACCTTATAAACCAAATAGTTACAGATGCCACAACTTTCTTCAATCCTGCAGGTGAGGCGTTTATAGCGTATTTTTCTCGGGAAGCTTCGGGGCTGCGTGGAAATTTTCAAAACGCGGAATAATGCAAGGCCGCTTCACTGGCGGGCACTCGCGATGTTAACATCCAGGCTGTCTTCGCCATCACCGGAGAAGCTACTCAATTCACCATCATCACTGTCTTCGCTTCTGGGCACACGACAAGTATCTTAATTCGAATCCTCATCACTTCAAAAATATCACGAAAATGGATAGCATTTTTTTCTCGTGTTCACAGGCCAGCTATGCATGTGTTGCCGCCACCGCATGCCGTCTTTCCCTACAAAAAGCATTCTCTTGCCGCAGGTAAAAAAACTATTTCTCGAGAAAATGCTGCCATCTGGTGGATGACATGCAATGTATTGCATAAATGTGTGCTTCTCCACCTGACAGCTAGGGGGAGTACCTGTTCCACTAGGACGAGTTCTACTTGTCCAAAGCAGTTTGGTGACAGTTTGGGCAGGACGAGCTTGGCTCGTCCAAAGCAGTTAAGGAGTTAGAGGTGCTTCTGCTTTGCTGATGATGACAGTAAGACCGACCAGCATTTCTGCAAATTTTTTTCGTGTTCGTTTTTTCTTATTTTCTGCGATCTTGGTTACGGCTGTAGTAGAGTGCAAGTGACGCTTGCACGGCAACCAACGCGCATGTGCAACTATCGATCCGCTTATCACAAGCCTCCTTATATACTCGGCTGCATTACTGAATAAACTGCTTTTGTTCCTCGCTACTCGTCTGGCATACAACTGCCACTAGGAGTGGTAGCAAAAACTACCCCACTTGTTGTGATCTGATAGCAGCTTTTGTTGTAATAAAGCAGGGCACGTTATTCAGAAGCACGCACCCATGAATTCAGCACAGTGAAGATCAGACACTTACAGGGGGTGGCTTGCGAAGCGAACAGTCTTTGATGGCTGCACGGCTCAGCAGGTCGGCATTCTTCTTGTCCGCTTCGATTTCCTGGAGGCAGAAGACGCAGACCAATGCTTTATTTTGGCAATACAGCTAATGTGTGAATCTCGCACTTGCAGAAGTTTAATAATAAATGTGACACTAAATGCTTTCTTTAGAATGAGCTCAGGCTACAACTAGAGTAAATCACTGAGTGAGCCGATAATAGGTTAACCTTTTCTCAGAGCCAAACTCTGCTTCATCGAGTCTTTTGGGCTTACATCTAAAAGGCATCACAATGCAGCATAGCAGCCACTGCTAACCCCTCTACTGCTACCAGCTGGCTGATGATCAAGAACAAGAATGACCAGAACTCTTTTGCAAGAATCACTGGTACCGTAAATGTGGGAATTGTGGAAGTAACACTCTTTCAGCATAAAGTAATGGCCACTAAAACTCAGATCCTCATGCAAATCAGATACTGAAAGTTCAATGCTAACATTGTTGATGTTGAGCTCAAATGGTCAGTTGCCCTGCACAAGTGCGTGCTGTCGCAGCTTGACGCTGTCGCACGGTTAGTGCCACAGGGATACAGACACACAGACGCAATACTTGTTTACACGAAAGTATACCCGCTTTCTATTTATTGGGCCTGAATATACATAGGTGCACATGAACAGTGTTGTGTACTTCCTTGTGTGTGCTTTTTTTTGTGCATGCAACACTGTTCGTGCCTTGTGAGACGGGTGTCGTGTAGAATACACTTCTTTCATGTAGCAGATCCTACACAGGACAAAGCGAGCACTGTATTAATGATAGATTGCGAGATCACCATTCAGCAGTTGAGGTGCGGGCAGTGGGGGGTCATTTGGCGGATCACTGCCTCAGGTGTAATTGTGCTCCTGATTTTGCCAAAACATGAGTGCTTAGAAAAGGCAAGGATAAGGCAAGATAGAAGCATTGGTTATTAGCAAGAATGGGGGAAAATGTGTCAGTGTGGCGTCAATTGCCTTGTCCAAAAAAGAGATAGAGTATTTGAGAGTAAATCTTATGCATGCAGCATGTTAACACGTGAAATGACAGACATAAGAAAGCCCCTCAGAGTGTCATTGTGCGCATGCACTAATGTCTGACGGTTTGGCTTTTTCAATAAAAAAATCTGTTGATGTATGGTGCCCGTCCTGTTCATGTGTTTCTTCTGTGTCTCCCTTCCCTTCCGTTTTGCGCGACAAATATGAATGCAAGAGAACGAAACCAACTAGCCCGCATCGCCGCCTTGACCCCTCAAGACGTCCTGACCAACTAAGGCTTTCTGGCAAGTTTTTCGACGCATCACCAGTACCACCTTTTAACGTTGATGATTATGCCAGTCGCCTCAGAATTACCATGAGAGATATGTCTCCTACTACACTACATTAACACTCATGACCAAGTTTCATCAGTTGTGCTTGCTGTGAGCGCACTTCTGCCTTAATACAGCACAATGCAATCAGGCCATCACTGGAACTGCCTTACGACGGACCTTTTAAAGTCACCAAGCGTTGCCCGAAGCATTTCTCCCCGCTTTTTAATTGCCACGAATACAGTGGCTCCATTGATAACATAAAGCTGGCCCTCCTCGAAACAGATGTCGTTCTCGCAGACGACAAACCATCAGCCAATACCAGACGAACGTGCTTCCAACTTCTTTGCTGCATACCGACTACCTCTCTAGCCGGCTACCCTTATGGCGAGCCAGCAGCATGTGGGAGAAGATGACGAACTTGCTTTTCAGATGCTCCGAGTGTTCAAGCAGAGTGCGAGAGAAGACGCTAACAGGAACGACAGCGTCTGGAGTCCATCGCCGAGCAAGCATAATAAAATATGTGGGAAAGCAAATGCCGCAGGTCTTCCCCCAATACAAAACGAATTCGTCCACTCTTTGTCCTTGACAAAGCTTTTTCGGTCTGGCTGTTAGGCAAGGATGTTGAGACTCAATCTTGGCCTCAAAGCCAATGCAACTAGGTTGCATCTTTACGAATGAGCTTTTATTTGCAGAGACAGGTGCTGTTTTTCCATGTCCCTGTTTGACAGCAAGAGTCCCTCGATTTTTCTCAAAAGCTGTCTTTTGCTCATGCTGACACACTTAACTCGCAGACTTCTTCAATAAGCCCCTGACAGTTGCCGCAATGTCCAAGATGTGTGGTAAGAATCTGGTGAGATGATTCCTCATTCCCAACAGTCTAATGCCAGTAAAATCCGCTGTAGCTTTTATGCCTTTGACTGGTTTGATCTTAGCTAGATCTGACCTGATTAACTGTGCCAAGGCAACGATTTTTGAGAAAAAACACCTCACATTCCTCAAGACGACACTTGCCATGGTTCAATATGGTGCCTGCTTTTGCAAGGCGAGATAGCAGCTAGCTCAGCTTGGCGTCAAGTTCCTGGCAGGTGCCAGGAACATGACTCAGGTTCACAAAATATAATCGCATGTTTACATGGACATAATACTACCACAGGTGCGCCCTCTTGTTTTCATTTGTTTTTATAGGAAGCAACTTACTTTCCTGATGAGAAGACCAACAACACTGCATTGCACTTTGAAAACCAGCACCAGGATAATGAATATGTATGTGCAGGGCATGAATAACTCAATTGGTCTTCGTGGTAAGTGGAAGCAGGCCAGCAAATGAAAATGTCACCAAAAAGGGCACAGAAAGTGCACACGTGGATGAAACAACTAAATATAACAATCTAGAGAAGAGAATTCAATGTCAGTCAGTGAAACTGATGACCTTCTAGCATTTTTATTGAAAAGAAGAGCCTACCTCCTTCCTAAAAAAAACAATACAAAAGGTGTCCTTGTAATTATGTGCTTATTTTCGGTTGTTTCATATTTTTTTTCTAATTTTGTCCATCTTATCAATGTTTGGACGACTATAGCTAGGTATGGAGCCTAAAAAGGCCCGTTGAAGAGCAAATAAACTCAGATGTAAGTCAGTGCTTGTCTCTGTTCTATGTGTATTTTTGCCTTAATCTACGCCAAGCAGCATTCATTTGAATATGTGCTACCACCAACTTGTGCAAGTCAAAATATTATAACAAGTTACACAGGACACCATGCTCCGACGGCAGCCTAATGAAAGAGCTGAACTGTAGTGACCTCTACAGATACGTCAGCCAGTCACTACATTTGCAACACATCAAAAGTCATTCATAGTGCTCAATAAAAGAAGCGCAGACTGCGCAGCTCCTGTGAGCATGGAGTACGTTCTAATGCAAGCGGCATACATCGGCTTTCTGTTGGAATTTTAAGGCTGCATATGTGATCATGTATTTTCTTGCTTTTTGAAGGCAAAGAACTTTTTTTATAAATAGGTATTTGTTTTCAAAATGTTGATAAACCTGATAAACCAGCCAACCACATATGTCAACCTTGCCATGTCAAGCACCTAAAAACTCAATGTAGTGCTGGTACTAAAATCCATAGTGACGCACATATTTTAACTTCTGCTAGTGTGCCAATGCCGTACATAACTAACGGCAAATGCTCAAGTTGGTGTGCAGAAGAGCTGTCAGAAATGTGAAACTTGTTCTGCACATTCGTACAGAACTGTCAAACAAACACCAGGCCTGTGCGAAACACGCAGCATAATCACAGTGAAAGCTGAAAGAGGGGCCTTTTTAGAGCCTTTTGTAAACTTTGGTCGGGACATCACAACGAGCATACTTGCATGGTGGCACCCACTACGCCGCAAACCATCATAATTTTTCTGAACTAGAGAAGCCCCAACTATGCCATTATTCATTATTCTACAGAGAAGCGTAGTACCAGCCACACATATGTAAGGCATTATGTGCACATTAAGCTTATCATGCAATTTTCACTCTGTGATGTCCAGTTGCCCTGTTACTTCTCTACCACACTACATTACATCTGTTGACATCATTCCTTCCCTGTCCTGCGAATAAGCAAAGTACTGCTACACATCTTCGAAGCGATATGTTGATAGTGCTGGTGGCGGCTGATCATGAAAAATTATCAGCTGCTGAGCTCTTCGTAGTGGTGGGAAGCTTTAAATCCCACATGTTGCACAATTATAATTGTGTGACACACTATTGTTATCTTGTTTACTCCTCCAACACACTGCAATACACAGGTTAATGTGATTTGTTGCCTGACATTATGCCAGTGTAGGGTCTTTTTGTGAAGTAGTTTCAAGCACAACCGTGGCTCTGTGGTAGAATAATGTAATGCCATACAGGGGGCTCGGGTTCCAATCTCATTTGATTCGGAGTATTTTTTTTGTGTCTCATTTCTTCTTTGTCTTATTTCGCCTGATAGCGTTTACAGACACCGATTGCAGACAACTATAACCCTGTTATGACTTCATAATAGCTTACTCTGCGATACCAGTGTCACATGGGCCCTTTTGCAAGGCTGACCTCCCGTTCATGGCTATTGAAGCGCTGCAACTCTATCGATGGATGACAGGAATTTTAAGCAGCAAAAACACACATTCACATGACAAGAGGAGAGTATGGGTGCTACTATGTGTGCAGCTGACAGCCATCAACTATGCACCATCTTGTGGAATTTTAAGTTTATTAAACTATTTATGCAGTTGTCGTGTTGCTACAAGGCATTTTTGAATGACCCTTCACACGTTTCTGGCAAATATTGTATGGCGCTGTGGACCCTTATTTTTGTATTCATGTTACTTCAAGGTTAATAGCATGAGTTTACTTAAAAGCTCAAACATGTCTGTCGACATTGTTTAAATATTTCAATGGATTGTTTATTTATAGTTGTGACTGCATATTTAGATTCTAGGTTATTGAGCAGCGAAACCATGGTGAGCGATACACGGTGGAACTGAAGACCAGCACATTGCTCTTGTCGAGAGTATGTGCACCCCACACATTTCAAGTGGCAAAAATCGCAAGGCACACACAGTCGCAAGGCGCAAGTCGCAAGGCACACACATGTATACTGGTTTTGAAGCATACTGGTTAGATGTATATCCCTTTTTTTTCTAGTCATGTGTGTGAGCACACTGCGACCAAGAGCACACGCTTGTGCCACTTCTGCTACCATTGCTCAGTGCCCATTCAAGTTTCAGTGAAATTGTGGGGCGCTCCATTAACTCGATAGACTATTGACTCAACAGCCTTCGAAACTGCCCGTGTGGCAGCTTGTCGTGACAGTTGAGTTAATAGAATATCGGTCGAGGGGCCTTCTAAATGCACATGCGACACATGTATAACATGTATAAAACTGTGTCAGGGTCCTTTCAATGCTTTAACGGCCCCAGATGCATAGGGGTCAAACTAAAAGGCATTTAAACTAACAATAAATTTGGGACTGAAATGGCAGCTGCCCTCACTGCATGTCGTCGAAGCAGTTCTTCATTTTTGCGCCTCATGTCCTCCATACGCTGCTGGACCAGTCGTTCTCTCTCCTCCCTGCACATTTCTCCAGTGGCCAGTGGCTGCAGGAAAAAAAAAACAAAAAAACAAGGGCTACCCTGGCTGCCAAGAGTTTCACATACACAACAAAGTAAACGGGACTGTTTGTCGAAGCTTGAGCACACAACTTTGTTTGCGAATTTCTTCATCACCCCGCCTTGATGTTTTTTTGGAAACCCAGTAAAGTGCATGCTTTGGAACCCATTAACAAAAGGGAGACCTTTCAGAAGAGAAGAGAGAACACTTTGAAACAAGAAACAGCACCAGCTCAGGACAAAGACGAGAAGACACAAACAAAGTGCCACCTTGTTGTCTCCGTTAGCGCTGTTTCCTCTTCAAAGTCAGTAGTTACAAACTAGCCCAATTCACGACACTAAAAGAGAGAACACGTGACAGAAACGACGCTCACTTCCAACTGAGTTTATTTGAAAAAACTTCCCACTAAAGAGCTTATGCACAAAATTCACTTAAACTTTCTCAGTGAGAAAAAATGCTCCTCATTTGCCAGTGAGCATCTTTTCTGTCGTATGCTCTTTCTTCCCAACCAATTCTGCACTCCTCTATACAACATGCGGAACTAGATAAACTATTCGGAAAGGGGGATTTCGCTTTGCATCACGATTACTACAGTATCCTTAAAGACTACAATTGTTGTTTTTTCATGCTTTACTTGGCATAACTGTCTATTGGATTCGCATGATTGGGTAAAAAAAGGAACGAGCCCGTCTAGGCATGTTCATCTCTCAGAACAGTAGGAATTCAGCTACGATACAGAAGCTGGACTACACCACTGCTGCTACCGTTCGACTTAATCAAAGGATGTCAGGTAGAAGAGAAGACATCAAACAAGACAACCTCCTCCAACTATTCCATGCTTTCCTTTTAAATCATATCAATTATGTTGCCTCTATGCACGCTTGGACTACTGCCGAAAAGGCCAAACCAGAAGTCTTGACTTAACAGACAGTCAAAAAGATTTTTGGCCTTTCTTCTCGAACGAGTACCATGAAACTCGAGGCGTTTGATGAATTAATTGAAGCGTAGCAGACTGCCAAGATTTCCCGACTGGCTCATCTTGGTGCGCAATTGCACACTGAGAACAGTTTCAGGCTTTCGTGCACTAAAACCACAGCATTATTGAAACCTTAACAGGAAATGCCACTTGAAATAAATTTCTCTAACCCTCTGAGGGTTGAATTTTTACAGCGTCCCGAAAATATGTTTTGTAGTGAAGAGGCATGCCCATTACCGCACCGACATCGACACGTTGGCGCGAGCTAGGACTGCCTGGTTGCTGCTGCGATGACGCCCGTATACTCGGCCAGCTCTTGCTGTTTCTGTTCCGATGCTGCTACTGCGTTTCGCCATGTATTTACATTATATTTGGTGGAGGCTGCTGCAGTTTTCCCCGACCCTGGAATCGCGTAGCCAAATGCCGTCTGTCATGCCTGACAACGCTGTCATCACACACCCCCCGAGCTTCGCCACCCAGGGGCTATCCCGGTGCCTAGCTCCTGCGTGAACCCGTCATCTTCAGCGGCACAGACGAGAAAGACGTTGAGGATTGGCTGGAATCCTACGAACGAGCCAGCGCTACCAACAAATGGGATGATGCCATGAAACTCGGTACCGTAATGTTTTATTTAACGGATGTTGCCAAGCTGTGGTACAGAAACCATGAGGCAGACATTCCTACTTGGACGACCTTCAAGACTTGCATCGCAGCTGTTTTTGGACGCCCTGGGGTGCGGAAACTTCGCGCAGAACAACGCCTATGAAGCCGGTCCCAACAAACTGGTGAGACATTCACCAGCTACATCGAGGCCATTCTCGACCTCTGCCGGCGTGTTGACCCGACAATGGAGGAAACTGACAAGGTACGACACATTATGAAAGGCATTTCTGACGACGCCTTTCAAATGCTCCTCTCAAAAAACCTTACCACAGTCTCGAAGCTCATCGAGCTGTGTCAAAGTTTCGTCGAGCTACGACGACAGCGTCTTCTCACGCGGCGCCCTAAGGTCCCAGATGACACCCTCTCAAGCGTGACAACCACCTCTGACCTTCAGTCGCTGCTATCGGAGATAAAGGAGTTTGTTCGCGCTGAGGTCACTCGTCAGCTGTCGCTGCTATGAACAGCCAGCCAACCACCATCACATCTGCCAGCAAACATTCATGAGGTCATCCAGGAGCAAGTTTGCGCGCCTCTGCCATCTGCCCGCGACACTTCGCTGTTGCCGACCCCTGTGGCCTGTGCCGAGGTGAATGCACCTCTAAGCTATGCTGAGGTTGCCGCAAGGCCACCTGTTCAGACTTTCAGGTCACAACCATCAGCCATGCCCACTCACCGGTTCGCTCAGCCAAGGTCCCTCCAGAGTAGCGGACAATGGCGTACACTCGACAATCGGCCAATATGCTTTGCCTGTGGCCTACCTGGCCACACAGCGCGATACTGCCGTTGGCGTGTCCCTGCCTATCACCAGAACTACCACCAGAGCTTCAAACCTGCCCCTTTTGTGTTACCGCGCCCTTCTTTCGCAGGCTCCCAGCACCCTGATCAGATGTCATCATACGCGGACCATTGCCCTTGTGTTAGCCGTTGCTCGCCATCGCCTCGACATCGCTCTTCATCGCCGATGCGTGGTCCTTCATCGCCAGAGTGGAAAAACTCATTGCCGCAGTTGGAGAGTCAGGAACTGCGTCACCCGCGAAAAGGCCAAGGCCTCTCTCTTCACCGACAAATGTTCTGGATGTATATGTGGACGGCGTCGCTGCACTCGCTCTTGTCGACCTGGTGCCGCAGTTTCAGTGATCAGTGCCAGACTCAGCCACTTGCTCAAAAAAGTTATGACGCCACTAGCAAGTATATCGCTTCGTACAGTGAGCGCAGAGCATGTCACGCCGGCCGCTGCCTGTACTGCTCGCATTGCAATTGACGGCCTAATTTACGTCGTCGAATTGCTAGTGTTAGATTCCTGCTCTCATGACCTCATTTTGTGTTGGGACTTTCTTTCAGCAAATAAGGCCGTCATCAACTGCTCTCGCGCAGAGGTAGCCTTTGAAGTGTTTAGCGACGCTCCTTTTTATGACGCTCCTGAACCCGGGGACAAACTATTTGTTGCTGAAGACGTTACCATACCGCCGCACTCTTTGGCCCTTGCCATGATGTCTTGCAATGCACTCGCCGAGTCGAGTCCCCTTTTCATGCCATCTGCCGTTTTCGTTCGTCTCAAGAGTTCATCGCCACCTCATGCCCTTTTGGAACTTCATGACGGCGCCAGCAGACTGCTCATCTCAAATCTGCTGTCATGTCATGTAACACTACTTCGGGGCGAGTGCGTCAGGCGTGTTTACAGTCGTGACTCTTCTGCAATTATCTACATGCCGCCTGGTTCTTTCGCCGAACACCAAGTCGCTGGATTGACCTGTGCCTCTTCGCCGCAGACTGTTAGACCTGACATACTGAGCAGCTCTATCGCCAACATGGTAACCATTTCGCAACGTGCTCAGCTTCTACAACTCCTGAACAAGTTCCGTTCTTCCTTTGACTGCCAGCATAGTCCCCTCGGCGGCACGTCAGCTGTGTGTCACAATTGATACGGGCACCAACGCACCACTTCGTCAAAGACCCTATCCCGTGTCCGCGACAGAGCGCCAGGTTATCGGTGACCAAGTAGCTGACATGCTCAAGCGTGGCGTATTCCAGCCATCGAATAGCCCCTGGGCATCTCCAGTCGTTCTCGTTGAGAAGAAGGACGGGTCAATTCCCTTCTGTATTGACTACCGTCGTTTTAACAAAATAACTCGAAAAGACGTTCACCCGTTGCCGAGAATCGACGATGCCATTGACTGCCTCCAAGGTGCGGAGTTCTTTTCTTCTATTGACTTACGGAGCGGCTACTGGCAAGTCCCTATAGTGCCTGAAGATCAGCCTAAAATGGCCTTTGTCGCACCTGATGGCCTTTACAAATTCGAATGTTGCGGTCTGTTGCGGTCCGCAACATTCGAGCGGATGATGAATAATCTTCTGCGTGGCCTGAAGTGGAAAACATGCCTGTGCTACTTAGATGATGAGGTTATATTTTCACCAGATTTTCTCACGTATCTCCGCAGGCTAGATGAAGTACTACAGTGCCTAACTGACGCTGGCCTTCATCTCAACCTGAAAAAATGCCGCTTCGACGCAAGTCAGCTCACAATCCTCGGCCATGTCTCTAAAGACGGTAGTCTTCCTGACACTGCCAAGCTTCAGGCAGTTACAGAGTTCCCTAAACCTGCGTCTCTGGAAGATCTGCGCAGCTTTTGGCCTCTGCTCGTTTTTGTGCCGCTTTATTCGGAATTTTGGGATGATCACTGCACCCTTGGCTGAACTTTTATGGAATTGCTCGAAAAGTTGCGTTTAGTCACCCGCCTGTGATGATGCCTTCTAAAAGGTGCGCCACCTGTTAACCTCACTGCCAATCTTGCGTCACTTCGACCCGACTGCTCCGATTGAGGTACACACCGATGCCAGTGGTGTTGGACTCGGCGTCGTGCTCGTGCAGCGCAAATCTGGTTTCCAGGAGTACGTTGTCGCATACACAAGCCGTACCCTCACCAAACTGGAGAAGAATTATTCTGTGACAGAGAAAGAGCGTCTAGCAATCATATGGGCTCTACGTAAATTTAGACCGTACCTATATGGTCACTTTTTCGACGTAGTCACCGATCACTATGCACTTTGTTGGTTATTCACGTTGTAGGACCCCTCCGGCCGTTTAGCTCGCTGGGCTTTGCGGTTGCAAATGTTTGACATGCGTGTTGTTTACAGGTCTGGCCGACGTCACAATGATGCCGACGCCCTATCGCGTTCACCTGTATCATCGGAAAACTCTGCCTGTCTATCTACCATCAACGAAACGGTTGCATTTCCAGCAAACTGCGACATGGCGTCTGAGCAGCATAAGGGTGACTAAATCAGCGCTCTTCTACGATTCCTTTCAGACCCGTCGACTTCTCCATCTTCTCGAAAATTGCGCCGTCA